ATATATATATATATATATATAGAAGACATTCTAAAAATTAATTTGTAAGATCTCCATAATAGTAATGTGTCTACAATTCCTATTGGAAAAAGCCACGTGGCTTGCAATTATTTAAAGAAATAGTGATGATGATATCAAACATATCAGTGATTTGCACATTTGTTGGACAAATTTTCTGATTAGTGATCTGTATTATACAATTATTTTCTGATTAGTGATTGGTTGGGATAGCAAAACAGTGCTATCCCCGTTTCATACAAGTTTTTCTGCATCTACACATGAATCAAACAAACAATTGAATTATTGACGACACCAAATTAATTTGGCAAGTTGCAATTTAGCTTGGTTATTGTACTAGAGTCTACTTTGATTACATATAGATTCATATAGCATATGACTGACTAATTGTAATTTTAATTTGAAAAACCTTGTTTACAGCTTCTGGATTTTTTAACTCCAAGGACATTGCTGAAGAATATGTGTATACTGGAGTTGGGTTGTTGGCTGGAACATCAATTTTGCTCTTAACAATACTTTGGGGGACGTGTGTAATTGTCAGCAGCCAAGACTTTCCAAATAAACTAAGTTTCAAGGCTTCCACTGATTCAAATTCCTCTCCACCTTTGTCATGGAAAAGACTACCTGCATCCTTGACAGGTATTGGATTATTTCCTAGTAATATATAATTACAATAATTACTTTGAAGAATGTTCACTGTCAACTTTTTTATTTTTATTTTTTACTTTTCATTTGAATTCACAGGTTGTGGTATTACTACGGATGTAGAGACCAGCCGCCTTGCAAGGATTATGATTTGTTCAGGAGCACCATTTCTTATAATGCAAAGTGCAAATATCTTCCAATCCTCTTCCAAGGAACGCATTTTCATCTTGATTGCTCTCTGTGTTTCTGTTTTCTTCCTATTACTGTACTTTATTTATCAGGTATACACATCTAATTAATCTTTTTTACTTGCTAATGTTACTAATTATAATGTCTATGAACTCATAATCTTCAACATCTTAAAACCCTGCAGATCTGCCATCCTTGGGTTCAGAAAAGAAGATTAGAGTTTGTCAAACATGGGCATTTGGTGTCAAGCATTTTACAACATGTGCAAAAACATGCATTAGGGAGAGTCCTCACTGTCAAAGGGGCACCGGATTTATATGCTATCAGAAGGTGAGGCTTCCTTGGAAATGCGTGGATATTTGCTCTACCATTGGAGCTCTGCGTTTTCTTTTTCTTTCTTGTATGTCGGTCAATAATGCTAGAGTCACCAAATTTGCTCATCAAATGATCTGTCAGTGCACATGTTAGCGTCTTATCTATAAGAAGTAAAAGAGGTTCGGTTTCGGAGTAGGGTCCTATATATGATTTTCAACTAAGAATTAGAGGGTATATATTGTTTATTATCGATCACTGCTTAACTTAATGAAACAATGTGTATACATTGCAGGCTATTTGAGGAAGTGGATGAAGATGGTCACAATTATATATCGCTTTCTGAAGTGAAAGAACTTCTCCATGAAATCAAATTCATATCAACAGAAGACGATAAGGATAAAGGAACAGCAGAAGTGATGAAACAGTTTGACCTGGATCATGATGGGAAAATCACTAAAGATGAATTCATCAATGGCTTCACAAAGTGGATTGATGAGATCAAGGCAGTGCATAAACAAAATACCCACAGATCGTTGGAGAACATATATGAGGTAACTTGAACATATAATTAACATTAACATACTGCATTATGTGAAAAAAGATATTGCCTTATTCATAATATTACTTCCATTTAAAGAGAATCATGATGCAGATCATGATTCCACACAATCAGCCCATTCCATGAAATCAGCCGATCCCACTAAATTAGCATTGACAGACTCCCCATCACAAGATCAGCTTCATCCCAGCTAGGAATTAGTTTACAATTGTTTCTGTAATATATAAGATTGATTTGTATATGCTTTATTAGGTCTTTCAACCTTGGATTGAAAATAGAAGAAGAGAACGTGAAATGAAGAAGAATCTAATGTCAGAAGTACTAAGACATGTCCAAAGCAATTCACTCGGAAGCATTCTCACAGAAGATGGCATGCCTGATATACCAAATATTAGAAGGTTAGACCACATTTGGTTGCTATTCGTGTGTCACGTACAAACTTTTTATTTTTCAATCAACGTGGAGGGAGAATTCGAACTTAGCATCACATGTTCCAATATTGAGAAGAGAAATACTAGTAGACGAAGAATTAGTTAGTATACAAACAATTATACTAATAATAGTTACACAATTTGTTAGCTTGATATATATACAATGTTGGTTCATTTTCTAACAATTTAAGCTTCGAGTCCAGTGGTAATGTAGCATAGTATGAGAGTATTTGGTAATCTAACATAACTATCATATAGATGTAATTAATCAGCAATTAATCTATGCTTTTTGTTCCTTTCCACGTGAAAACAACAGGTTGTTTGAAAAGATTGATCTTGATGGAAATAATAGTATATCACAAGCAGAACTAAAAGAACTGATCGCGGATATCAAGTTTGGTAAGATTCCAGGGGACGTGGATGAATCAGTTGTGAAATTGATAGAAGAACTTGACACAAGTGGAGACAAAATGATCAGTGAGGAAGAATTTGTTACTGGATTAACAAAATGGATAAATAAATCCAATGGTACTCAACCCCCCTCCTCGTCCTATGAATCTGAAGACGATATCTATCAAGTAAGTAACGGTAAAAATTATAAGGAAATGGCCTGAAAACAATATGCTTGGTTACTTATATGTACGTTACAAGAGACACTCCTTTTTACTTACAAATCACAGTCCGACACATATACAGATTAAAAACACAATACGTATCAAACTGTGTTTTGCAGATAAGGATTGTTAAGCTTAATTCTTTGAAATGAACTTATGCAGAGAACTTGGGAAGAAACAGATAGGTTGGTGGATGAAGAGAAAAGCAAGGGTGGATCAGCTGTAGACAAGTCAATATGGGATTGGTTGAAGGCCATTACATATTTGGTGCTTGGATTTGTTGTTTTAGCAGTTCTAGCAGAGCCTCTTATATATAGTGTTCAGGCTTTTTCCAAAGCTGCAAGCATTCCTTCTTTCTGTGTAGCATTTGTGCTTGTCCCCTTGGCAACAAATGCTAGGCAAGCCACTTCAGCAATTAAAGCAGCTTTTAAAAAAACACCAAGAACCACTTCTTTGACATTTTCTGAGGTTTGTGATTTTCTAAGTTCATTTTTTCAATTAGCCAATGGTGTCTAAATCAGTATAAAATAGTCTTGAATTGCACATCAATAGTTTCAAGTTCGAACCCCTATAGTACCTTGATAGCGCATCTGTTTAGACTATCGATTGTATTCAAATTTCTTTCATTTTCATATCTTGACCAACTCTTTTTTTGGATGCAGATTTATGGTGGAGTTTTTATGAACAATGTGCTGGGAGTTTCTGTGCTTCTAGCAATAATTTATGCTCGTGAAATGACATGGGAATTTTCTGCTGAATTATTGGTGGTTCTAATTGTCTGCACTGTAATGGGTGTCATTGCAAATTTTGTTTCAACCTTTTCTCTCTGGACAGCCTTCTTGGCCTACCTGCTGTACCCTGTTTCATTGCTTTTAGTCTATCTTCTCAATGACGTTCTCAAATATACTTGATTGATACTCAAATTACCTGAAGTGTGAAGGATATTATTATTTTTGTAACTTATTAGCAGGCACGTGTATTTTTTGTCATTTTTTTATTAGAGTAGATTTTATTTTGAGTCATTAATTAATAATGTACAATATGGAAATAATGGACATGTATTGCCTTCTTTTTTTTTCTTTTTTTCCAATTCTTCTTTTTATTCTTTTTTTTTTTCCTTCTAAAAAAGGCCATCCTCCATGGGCTATACAATGCACCCTAGAATCTTATTAAAACACCCAGCTCTTATAAAAAATAAAAAAATAAAAACCCCAAATTTCCAGTTTTATGGCTGAGGGGTGGGGTAGGAAGAGGAAGTCAAGCTTGACGTTTTGGTACTAGTCCCACCGGATTTGGTGGCCGGACATGGCCATGGTGGCCCAAAACTGGGTTGGTGAATAGTAACTCTGGGGGCTGTTTCTTGCGAAGGGAGAGGGAGAGAGAGCTGAAGGGAAATCTGATTTTAATAAACCCATTTCGAAACATTTACGATTTTGCTACTATGTTTTTTTTTATAGTAACTTCTTCATTACAACTCCGATTTGAGCCTACTACGTATTTACAGACTCATCTCAGCACGATCTACGCAATAGTACCATTCATTTCCCCAAAACCCTTCTGAATTAAAAAGTGACCAAAATACCCCTACTCTCGAGAGCAAAATTGTAATTTCATAATTAAATAAATTAAATAGTCAATAAAATTAGGGTCAGAGTGTTACAATAGCAATGCCAAACTGACCCTAAATAGTAAGCCCATAAGTTAATAAAAAATTAATCTGGCCCCGGTAAAGCAGCCCAATCTTCATGTAAGTAAGCCCAGATCAATATCCTAGCTCATCAAATCAGGCTTCTGGAATTCACAAATTAGTGCATTATTGGAATTTTTGGTAAAACCACCCAATACTTAACATCATTCTAGAAATACGTTAACCAGTAATATATGTATGGTTGTAAATTATGAAAGACAAACAAAAACAATTAAGGCTGCTGCTAAGAAGCTCAGAATATATCGACAGGAACGAATCGAAAGCCACTGCCGGCTGGCCTCAAAGAACTAACACGCAGCCACAAAGCTCATAATGAAGATGACACTCATGTTGGGACCCAACCCAAGTGACTGGAATTATCTTCGTTTGTATTTTACTTTATTTTTGTGCCAATAGAAAGTATTAAATTGAGTAATAATGAATGAAAACCCTTATCAAAATTTGAAATAAACAAGAAATTAATTAGCTTTATATTTATACAATATTATGCATTAGACACAGAATTCATATATCTCTAACCTTGGAGGCTTAGAGCATCCAACCCTCAAATTTTTTTGTTTTTTTTTTTTAAGGAACCAACGCTATATATATTAGATTATTATAAATAAACACAATCCTAGACATGTATTTATAAAAAAACCCACATACTATTTAAACATAGAAACACACCCAAAATTAACCTCAAAATCAATAATTGTATATTTTTTGGGTGTGTTTATAAATGGGTTTTGAGTGTGTGTAATGATGGGTTTTGGGTGTGTTTATAAAGTGTTTTGGGTGTTGGGTTTTTTTATAATTTGAGCCCCCATTTTGGGTGTTTTAGTGAAACTCCCATATATAGTCCCTTTCTATTAAGAGATTTTTCAAACAATTTTATTTGAGGGACATCCTTTAGGGTCCTCTACAAATATTTTTTCAATTATCCAAATCTTCTATTTTCTAAGTTTACATTCATAAAATCATCCTTGCAAAAAATTAGACAAATCAGAAACCATTTCAATATCCAATCATGTCCTACAAAATCAATAAACATGGTGCTTCAAAAAAGTACTAAAATTTCAATAATTCAATTGAGTGGTCAAATGATATCGAATTTAAGTGATTTTTTGTAGTGACAAATATATATATATATATATATAGTTTAGGAATTCATGTGCATCAAACATGACGGCCAGCAAGGTCATGAGACTGGACAGACCCAAAAGGAAAAACAACGTTACAAATTTAAAAAAAAATTATGCACACCTTTCAAGACTTATGAAACAATTGGTTGCTTTGTGTTTTCTGATTAGGAATAAAGTCACAAAAGATCACCTAATCCACTAAATAAACAATCAACAAAAAGAACACGTTGACCTTATTAATGCACACTGATCTTCCTAGCTATAGTTTTCAAAGCTTTGAAACCATGAAAACTGGCATGTAGCTCCCGTCTTCATTCCAAGCAGAGCAAGAAGAGAATATGAGCAACAACATCACCAAAACTGCATATTGGGTTTTGGTTCTTCTTGTAATTATAGTCCAAGTCGGAGGCCGTTCGTTTAGACTGGTTTCAGATGGTGGAACAGATCATCATCATCATCATCCTCATAATCAAAATCAAAGCAGCAGCAGCAGCAGCAGCTCCCTGTTGGTTTTCAAAGGAATTGATTATGCAGAAGAGGAGACATGTGAGCAGCTTTATGGGTTCTTGCCATGCTCCAACAGTGTGTATGGGCATGTGTTTCTGATGGTGGTTTATGAGTTCTTGCTGTTTCATGGGGAGTCTTATTTGGCTGCTGGGGGCGAGCAGATTTTCCAGATTTTGGGTCCTGGTGTCTTTGGTGCCAGTGCATTTCATGTCCTTGGTGCCCTTCCTGAGTCTCTTTTACTTCTTGGTAGGTAACTGAAATTTCCATCTTCTTCATTAATTGCTTTTTTCATTAGTTTTCTTCTTCTTATATCACTTTGATTGGTTTTGAATGTTGGATCTGATTTCTGATTTCTCATCAAGCATGTTATGTCAATGACACATCTTGAATGCTAAATTATCATATAATATATTGTGTTGTCGAATTGTTAATCTGAACTACACATCATTATTCATTAAATTAATGATTATTTTCATCCGCGATATAATTAAGAGGAAACTTAGGGCATCTTCCAACATTCACAAGAAAAATGATATTGAACGAAAACCTAGCTGACATCAAAATAATTATATTATATATGAAAAATGTGACACTACAGCTACACAAGTTCTTTTGTTGTTTATTAATACATAATATTGCTGGCTGTGAGGGATGCCAACTGTCAATATATATATATATAGAAGACATTCTAAAAATTAATTTGTAAGATCTCCATAATAGTAATGTGTCTACAATTCCTATTGGAAAAAGTCACGTGCACTGGCTTCCAATTATTTAAAAATAGTGATGATGATATCAAACATATACTTGCCTGTGATTTGCACATTTGTTGGACAAATTTTCTGATTAGTGATCCACAATATTATACAACTAGTCCCTCAGCTTCTGCGTCTGCAAGAGGGTTTTTTTAAAAAAAAAATTTATTTTAGAACTAAAAAAGATAATGGATAGTTGTGTTCCATAAAAATATGATCCATTATTTTATTTTTCTTTTTCTTTTAATTTTTTTAAATATAAAAAAGTATGAATTTACCATATTATCCTCATGTAATTAATAATTTTAATTCTTAATGTCTGTATTAACCAAAGGCATTTTTTAGTATTTTGAATGTTTTACCATTCACTACCTTTTGCTATATATAGATTATTTAATGGACAAGTTACAACGTGGCTTAAGGTTGGCTAAAGTCAAATCAAATGAGCAAAGAGAAGAAGCAACCTTTTAAAGTCAAATTTAGCACAGCTTGGAAGAGTCAACATTCAAATGGGTCAGTCTTTTTTTTTGGTCAAATCAAATGGGTTAGTTACACGCAACAAATATAAGATTTGATTATATTTTAAAACGTATAATAGTACAGGTCTAGTGGTAATTGTATGTAAATTAAATTAAAGGTTAATTTATCATAATCCAATATATTTATTATTAATTAGAAAATTAATAAACAATAATAAATGTCAGGCATTATCACTCTACTTCTTTTTCCCTTTTCTTTTATCTTCATTCAACCGAGATAGAAGAAAAGAAAAGAAGAAAAAAAACCAAGATAGCAGAAAAAGCAAGCACATGCATCCTAAAGGAGAAACACTTTTCCACGTTCCAATTGCGACATGTAACTTGTGATAACTATTTCACGTTCCAATCTGTGATTAGTTAGGGATAGCAAAACAGTGTTATCCTTGTTTCATACAAGTTTTTCTGCATCTACACACAAGACCCACATAAGCTAAAACCAAATCAGGGAATAAAAGAATCAAACAAACAATTGAATTATTGATGACACCAAATTAATTTGGCAAGTTGCAATTTAGCTTGGTTATTGTACTAGAGTCTGCTTTGATTACATATAGATTCATATAGCATATGACTGACTAATTGTAATTTTAATTTGATATCCCTTGTTCACAGCTTCTGGATTTTTTAACTCCAAGGACATTGCTGAGGAATATGTGTATACTGGAGTTGGGTTGTTGGCTGGAACATCAATTTTGCTCTTAACAATACTTTGGGGGACTTGTGTAATTGTCAGCAGCCAAGACTTTCCAAATAAACTAAGCTCTGACTCTGGGGCTTCCAAGGATTCAATTTCCTCTCCACCTTTATCATGGAAAAGACTACCTGCATCCTTGACAGGTATTGGATTATTTCCTAGTCATATGCCTGAAAACTTGTGCACTGTGAAACAGAAAACAATTTTTATCCCAAAATAAGAGGATTTATTAACATTCCAAATAAAAAATAAGAAAAATCATGCATCCTCTCTACAGTAATAAATAAGAAAAATAGGCTCAGTCAAGTTTGCTAGAGCGGATGTGCTCCCAACTCTCCACTGTAGTTCGAATCTCACTTCCCGTAATTTAGATTAGATTAAAGTATAATATATATATATTTCTACACAATGAGTTTTGCCTTAATTTCAAAAATGCACCATATAATTACAGTAATTACTTTGAAGAATGTTCACTGTCAACTTTTTTATTTTTTATTTATTTTACTTTTCCTTTGAATTCATAGGTTGTGGAATTACTACGGATGTAGAGACCAGCCACCTTGCAAGGATTATGATTTGTTCAGGAGCACCATTTCTTATAATGCAAATTGCAAATATCTTCCAATCCTCTTCCAAGGAACGCATTGCCA